CACCTTCACATATTTAGACATTTTTAAATAATCAACAACAGAAGTAGAAAAGGTATTATATATACCGTAGGGTGATCGATTATTCGACATTTTCCAAAAACCGGTTTTCGAGTAGTACGAATAGTTGACGTTTGAAAAAAACCGGTTGATATTTTTCAAATTCAGAGAAAACGGTTTTTTATTATAAATAAAAACATCTAGTTTAATTTGAAAAACAATTATGACCCGAACTGATTTTTTAAAATAAACATTATTTCTTTAATGTAAAAAATTGGGAAGAATCATAATCCTAGTTTATTCTAAAGTCCCTGTTTAGTAAATTTTCATAGGCATTCCAACACTGCTATAATATTTCAGCGACAAATTAATTATTGTAATTGGAATATAATCTTAAGATTGATAAAATTTTACCCAACAGTTATTCCAATCAATTTTACAAATAAATTTTTTTAATTAATTAGGAAAATCAAAAAAGTTTAACCAAAGGTGCTTTAGAAAAATATACTCTAGTTTCTTGACTCGAATATTTTAAAATTTAGACAGGCTGTACTATTATTTATTTCAAAATTTAATTAAAGTAATCTTTGAATACAAAGCAAATAAAAGTATTCGAAACCTCTTTTAAAAAGTTAAAAAACCGGGTTATTCGATATTCGAAAAAATCAACATTTAGAAAAAACCGACACTGGTAAATCAGAAAAAACCGGTTTTAAGACCGATTGAAAAACTGAATCGATCACTCTTAAATACATATATTGATATAATGAATCTTTGTCCATCCCTCAATGTTAACCTTTTAGATATAATTTGATGAACTTCAATGTCCATGGTATCATAGAGCTACCATAAAAATATTACCCCGATATTGAACTTCGTAAATATGTATATTAAAATCAGTCATGATACAATTTGTTATATTTTAATAGATCCTTTCTTAAAGAAATTCACTTATTTATTTATATTTATTTTATATTTAAAAAGCAAGCGTAACAAACAAGTAGATATTTAGGATAAATTGTGTTACTATGTTAGTTAAACTGAAAAATTTGATTGATAATAGAATGAAACCATAAAGTGTTATATACCATTGTATTTTAGATAAATATAGCTAACAGAATACCTGGGACAAAATAGAGTTTAAAATATTAAGATAGAATACAAAACATAAAGAATTTCGAAAAACAGAAAAAAACATTTCGGTGAAATTTAGGTGAGGTGAGGTTTATAATATAATAATTTCAATTAATTACAATATATATTTCTTTGTAAAAATATGAAAAACTTAAAATTTTTCCGAAAAATTACGACATTTGTAATCATTTTGGTGTTGTATACAAAATTGTGTATGTCATTGAAATCGTCTCCCAAGGACCTTTCATATGATACTAAATTTGCATATGGTTTATTTGTCAAAAATGTGAAAAAATAACATAAAAACCCTAAAAAGGACCTTTTTATCCTTTGATCCAGCTCACCAAATATTGACGTCAGGACAAAAATTTTGAGAAATGGCATCTTAGAATGAACTAAATTTTCAATTTTCGGTGGGAACATCAGCAATTTCCATTTTGGGGCCACCCTAATATACATATGTGTTATTAAATTAAAATTCGATGTACATAGGTGTTCATTTGTTAAAAAATCAATAGTCATATCAAATTCTACACATGAGACCATACATAAGACCATCCATGACATGAAACAATAATTTGCTTTAAAGTCCAAATAATTTTCACCAAAAATTTCTCTTATTATCTATGGTTGAATTCTTAATTTCAAAACATATCGTTTTATATTAATAGAAATTGAGTCCTTCGAGCTTCTATCATTTAGAAATAATTAGTTTTAAAGTCAAATATTTTTTCAAAATTAAATTTTTTGGTAATTTTCTCATATAATATTAACAATGGAATTTAATTAGATTAATATTCATATAATGTCAATCAAGATAAACATTCGAAATGAGCTGCATTGGTTATTTGCAAAACATACTTCTAAAAAGTGGCTTTTAAAACTAGATTTCAAAACATTCTTACCCCCATTTTCTCATTGTCTGATTATGTTTTATCATAACGATAAATTGACATTTTACATACAAAAATTATTTTAACCGGCAATATATCCACCTGTTAAACGATAACCGGAGGTTGAGATATTGCCCCTTAGAATTTCAAATTTGAACTTTTAAAGATACTTTGACCCATTTTCTCGTTGTCTGATTATGTTTTATCATAACGATAAATTGATATTTACATACAAAAATTATTTTAACCGGCAGTATATCCACCTGTTAAACGATAACCGGAGGTTGAGATATTGGCCCTGAGAGTATCAAATAAGACTCGGGAGTATCACGGTACTTTTGAACATCAAATAGTATCAAAAAAAGTACCATCGTACCAAATTTGCCATCCCTGATGCATATGTTGATGTAAGAATGTATTATGTATGTGTTGATGTATTTATGTACATATGTATGTTCGTCTATAAGTGTTCAAAT